GTCTTTTGTGGTCCTTTTTGGTGGTCTTTGTTTTCTTGTTTTGTTTTATTCAGATCTAGTGGCCAATAAGACAATAAAGAAGAAATTAGGGGTTGGTTGTTGCTTGCTTGGATCCTCTAGCTACGGCATCACGGAGAGCAAGTTTATCTGTTTCAAGAGTAGATTGAATGGTGTCCAATTACTCTGAAACGTTCAACCAAAGGAAGTTGTAAAGATTTGTTCCCTTAAATATCGTTCACTTGAATTTGTTCACCGTCCTTCTTTTATATTTATCTTACGTTGAACTTGATCTATTCTTATTCTCGTCTCCAATTGTGCTTTCTTTGTATTGTTATTAGTTCTTATCAATGTGATAAGAATTTCTTCTATAGATGCAATATGGTTGTGTTTCATCTATGTGATTTTAGCTGTGTTAGAAAAAAAAAAAAGAAAAAAAAAAACTAATAGTTGATAGTTATTCTCCAAACTCAAAACTTGAAATCCTAGTGCCTATCTTTCTTTCTTTCTTTCTTTTAATGGTTTGAGTGTCTTCAAATCATTAGAGTAGAGCTAAAAATTTAGAAAACAAGCTTTAATCAATAAGATAGAAAACAATCCTTGCATTAAAAAAGAGAGAGAGAGAGAGAGAGAGAGAAAAAACTTTTCTTACCAATTAGGCCACCGTCCATTAAGGTGGATAAATATCAGTTTTGGTTAAAATCCGGTTAAAATTGAAACCAGTATTTGATTAACCAAAATTTTTTTATTTCAATTTTTAAAATTGAAATCAAAATCAAAAAAGATAAAAATTTTTGGTTTGATTATTCAAAGTTTCAATTATTATAAATTTGGGTTTGATATATTTTAAATTTTATTTTTTAGTTTTAGATATATTTTAAATTTAAATCCTAAATTATATTTCTTTCATTTATTTTTAGTAGTTCTAATTTAATTTGTCTGACTTTTTAAATATGAATTTTAGATGAAAATTTAACAAATTATATGAATAACAATTGGAATTATATATATATGTAGCTTTTGTTTAGTACACTACTAGAAAAAGGCACAATTTCGGTCAAGAATTATTGACTGAAAAAGGCCAAATATTGACCGAAAAACAATTAATTTGGTTAAGTATTTTGACCGAATTGTTGGACCGAATATGCTCTGTACGAAATACAATTTCGGAGAAAATTTTATCTTGGCCGAAATAAAAATCATTTCGGTTAAGGTGCTTGACCAAAATAAGATTGAAAAAATCAATAAAAAACACTTATATTCGGTCAATGTATTTGACCGAAATACTTAAATATTATTTTAATAACACATTCAGTCAACTATAATAACCGAAATATTCATGAATTCGTGGTCTTCCAATCATCCTATTTCGGTCAAGCACCTTGACCGAAATAAAAATGGAGATTAACAAAAAAAAATTTATTTAACGAATTTTAATTTAGTTGATAAATATTATAATAAAATTTGGTATTGAAAAAAAATTAAATTTTAACATCATCAACATACAATTCTTATTTATTTAATTTATTAGCCTTTTATAATTTGAAATTATAATTATGATTATATTTCTAGAAATATAAAAAAATGAAAAGAACCCAAAAATGCTAGCATTTGCAACAAGAAACCAACTTAAATACATAAATAAGTCAAATTAATATATATAAGCACAAATAAGTTAAAACATATAATTAAATGAAAATATGAAAATAAATTAACAAAATATATAAAATAACAAAAATTTGAGGACAAATATTGAATAATGTAATAAAATCACCTCTAAAATGTTGCCTCATCATGTTCACCAACTTAAGGAACACCCTGAAAATGATCAAAATTTAAATCATTAATACATAATTAAAATACCAAAAGCATAAGATTACATAAAATAAAGATAGTTTTACATAACTAAAAAATTAAAATTTACAAATCAGATGGTAGTATTAATTTTGAAGAAAAATATATGAAGAATATGAGTAAAATTTGAAAATAAAATACTATAAAGGAGAGATAAAAGAGTATTTATGGACAATGAAAAAAAAAAGATGAAGACATCAGGAAGTAATTAGGAAAAATTGAAGAGAATTATTGAAAGTTAAATAAATAAAAAGTAAAGAAAAATACTGAAGTTGGAGGAGAAAGACATATGTTGGAAGGGAATCGGAGAGGAAGAAAGAAATGAAAGTGAAGTTGCAGAAGTGAGGAAAAGAGTTTGGAGTGAGATATATATAGGCTGGTAGTTATTTTGGTCAATATTATTGACCGAAATAAAAGAGCAAAAAATTCAAATATTTTTGCAAAAAAATTCAAATGGCAAGGCGGGTTTTTTTCATCAATTCGGTTAGTATACATGATCGAATTATATGTAGAGGGAGATTCAAAATTTTCCCCAAATTTTCTGGTAAAGATAAAGGTTTTTATCATTTTTTTGGGTAACTTATTTCGGTCAATCCACTTGACCAAAATAATTCTTTTCATATTTCAGTCAAGTAGCTTGACCGAATTAAAGATGAGTTTTTTTCTTGAATTTTCTCGAAATGATAGATGGGTCTCCAGGAAGATAAAGGGGTCTTTTGTTTTTTTTTTTTTTTTTTTTTTGGCTTGACCGAATTAAAGATGATTTTTTTTTTTGAATTTTCTCCA